TCACGAAAGTCTCTGCTTTTGAATGACCATCAGAACTGGCAGCAACGGGGTTGTAACACAGAAAAGCACTGTTATTTTCACAGGGCAAGATCATCAGGGAAAAATATAATTTTGTCTTTAATAAAAGTCGGTGGCCCCCAGAGAAGAATTCCTCCTACTTTTGTAACAGATTATACCAGTTCCAGTAAGAGACACTGGTCTATATTCAGCACTTATGCGAGGGGTCTCCCCACCGAGACACAGTCCAAGGAGACTTTTGCTCTAGAATGTTTAAATGGCAGGTTGTCAGTTCTCCTGTGTGTTACATAAACTCTTTCTAGAATCTAATATTGAAGTGATATTTCTATTATTATAAAACTTCTTCTGGAAAGGAATTTTGCATTAGCTTGCTGCTACCAGAAATGTGATGCAAGCTGACCTAAAGCATTGAAGGGGAGCTGCTGTGGGAAAGAGGCTTTGAGACTCAAGCCCTTTCAGACTTAGTTGACTCTTGATGTTAGACTCACAAGACAGTTTCCTCCAGATCACTGATAACTGACACCACGTATTGAGCAATTGCTCATTTTTCCCTCAGTATAAAGACTGGAGTTTGTATAAAGCTCATGCTGGGTGACACTGAGGCAATTCTGGTAAGCAGTGACTGGGTGAAATACAGAGACTGTTTGCCCATTGCATTGAGGATTGCCTTTTGTTACTCACTTCCTATGCACAAACGTGGTGGGATTCTTGCAGAGTTTGGCATGGGCAAGAAAAGCCAGATTTTTTAAAACAACCTGTATTAAATAAAAACATGATAATTCTTTCTGGATGAGGCAGGTATCTGTATGCAAGGATTAGGTAATTTCCAGAGCTGACTGTTGCAGGTATGGCAGGAGATGGCATGCTGATTCTGAGGGACCTATGTCATGTTTTAGCTTAGCATTTGGTATCAAGAGAGGCTCCTTCAGTGAACAGGGCTCTCATAGATGTTTGGGACATGGGTAATCTCTACAGGGTGGTGGGGTGTTGAGGTTTTTTTGCTTATTTTATCCCCACTGAGTGAGAGAAACAAGTGTCAGTAAGTACAGGAGCATCACCCCTAAGACAGGAGGCCTTACGCTATAATCTGAGATGCACTGAATCAGCACATTTTTCCGCCAGTCTACTCTGTGTGGTGTTCTGGCATACCAACTCCATGCTCTTCCACCAAGCAAACAGCTTTGGGTACTTTGCACAACAACAGTCATCCACTTGTCAGGCAGATTTGCTCTTGCTTCTTGAAGGCTGCAGTAGTAGAGGCAACATAGAGAAGATGTGGATCTTTCCCCATGGCTTTTGAACTGCAGGACACTGAAGATGCTCAGGTGAGGCTTCATTTTGCATGTGATGTCAGGTTACTTAAGTGTGTACTGCCCTGTGGAGTGGCGATGCCACCGAGACTCAACAGCTTAGTGGAATTACTCATTTGCCTTATGTTTGTTGAGGCTGGTTTTGATGCTACGGATCAGGGTCTTGCTTTGTCAATGACTTGTCAAAGAAGTGACAACAAGTGAGTTGGAGAAGGTGGCTCAGACATTCTCAGCTTCCATCTACGCAGCTCTTAATGTTGTCCACTTGTCCCCCACTCTAGCAATGCAGTTATCTGCTGAGAAGGGTAGGTTGCTGTCTATTCAGTCCAAACTACATTGACCCCATGACAGGTTTGAGTTGAAATTAGCACTTCTTGAGCAAACTGAGCTTTTTCCACAAGGTCAGCTTCCTAAAGCACCTATGGCTCTGCTCAACGTGCGCTGTACATCACAGCTTTGCAAAATTGAGAACTGATCAAGAAGAAATAGTTCTTTTCATGAAAGCCTCTAAAGACTACAAAGCCAGCTTTGTAAGGGATAGATAATTAAGGAAAACAAGAGAAGAAATTATTGTTAAGAATGGGAATTATAAAGCTAACACCTTTGGGACAATTAAATAATACCGATTAATGACCAGATGCATGCATTAGTAATAAGCATAGTTCATGAGCCTGTACTGTTGTGACCTTCAGCCTATCATTCCCTGTTCTCCACCCTTTGTTTGTCATTCTCTGTGGTGGTGTATCTAAGCAAATTCCAAAGTCCTCAGGGTGGAGTACAGCCAATTATACCCTTCTCCAAGTGCCATGCATGTTTCTGTGGCATTACATAAAGAGATAACTAAGACTGCAATAACATGCGTGTCATGAAGCATTTTTAGTACGTATTTGTTTTTCAAAACTTAAAGGGAGAGTGGAGCAAATCCTGGCCTTGAAAAGGATGGGTGAAGACACACAAGCAGCTAAGGAGACAAACATAAGCACTGTCATTTACTTTTTGGCACCACGTGCTATAATACCCTAAAACATCTTAATTGTAGTCATCATTTAATTTTACTCCTGTGGATCATTCGGTATGTTCGGAATGCTGCTTGCTTTTCATACTGCACAAATAACGCTTCTCAACAAAACCAATCTTTTCTACATGTTCTATTTTTATTTGGCAGATATATTTGAGATCATGCTATAATGAAGAAAGGGTACGGTCTGGAACTCTGTACAGATGCTGGAACTCTGTGGGAGAGAGTAACGATTTTGGACTTTGTCAAAAATATCCACAGCTCAAAATACTAAAATTCTAGATGGAAGGTCAAGCCAGCAGGAGGTAAAACTTGAAAAGCAGCTCTTGTTCTTAGTAGTAGGTATATCTTACTGTGCCAGCTGCATGGTATAGCATATTCTGAAGACCTTAAGAATACTTTGTTTTCTCAAACTGCGTTCTCTCTTCTTCATTTATACTACTTTAATCTTAATGTAAGCATTGCTGTGACAGCATGACTAAGGTACTGTACTCGCTGTGCACATAGCAATTACCCATTTCACTGGCGGTACCATGGCATAAACACAGTTAACCCAGTAACTAATGGTGCACTGCTGAAATTTAAATTTATAACTCTTAAACTCTTAATGCTACCTTACTCTTACTGCCTTTATGGCAAATCTATTATAAAACGGATGTTTGCAACTTTCTAGGGCAGATGGTTGGATTGCTTCACAGAGGAAATCAATTTGGCAAACAAATTGCAACTGTTTTAGAACTCTTTCTAATTTCAACTTATTTCTAAAGCATGCTTCAGGCCACAAGTTAAAGTCTTTTAACCTTCTTTTTTTTTTTTTCCCCTTTGGGCTCCTTAAAGCAAGAGGCTCTGAAGACCCAGTTGCCGCTTACGTGCATGAAAGAGACTGTCAAACAGGCTCTCTGTGAGACATACAACTGTATAAATGTAATATAAAGTAGGTTCTGTTCCCGTTTGAACACGCATATGCAAATGTCAGGGAGAACTAGTATACCAATTTCTATTTTTAACTGGACCTAGCCAGTAATATGGTCGCCTAAGACTTTGCAAGCTGCGTCATAAACATAAAAAGCATAACCATCTGCAGTCACTGCTGGTAAGCGCACACAAGTTTTGTTATTGTGGTTGTGGGTTTCTTTGTCAGCTCCCCAGCTGCGCTAGACCAGTAAAGAAAGAAAATGCTGCAGACTTCGCACGTCTCCCCGCAGCCTTCCCGGCACTGGCGCTGCACGTGGATGGCGCCGTGCCGCTGGCCTTTACACCATCGCACTTGGCGCTACCCCAGTGCCTCAGCCTTTCTCCTTTGCTGTAGTACTCCTGGATGCAGCATACACACCGGTAAGCCGCATTACAGTGTTCAGATTAAATACAGCCCTTTGACTAGGAGATGCTATCGGTGCAGCTCACCCAACCCGGCGGCTCTCCTTGCCCTGCGCTTCGTGAGGCGGCGAGACAAAATGGCTCTCCTACAGCTGCCCCGGACGCGGGCGGGCCGGCAGGCCGCCGCGCACGGGCCCGCCCCCGTG